TATGTTGCACCATGGTCTAAAATAATCAAATAATAATAAAATCTAGTTCAATCACAAAAATAATCCGATCTGTACACTTTATTTCAGACATTTTTCATAAAAAGATCTATAGAATAACTCATCATATAAAAATGATTGCATAAAATTCAAAGTATCGGTTTTCAAATCCACCTTTAGTTTATTTTTTCCTCCTCACATGCAGAAATTCATGGGTCTCCACAGACAACATTTGTTTTCAACTTTAAAAAGTCACTAGATATTGTTCAGGTATAACAGTTCTTTTTTTCCTTTTTACATTTTATCCTTAAAACCATTAAAAATGTTAGTTGACCAGCTTGAATGTTAGACAGTTGGCACTTAAACTACATAACAATACAACAAGACCCACAGTACACATGCTCTGAGTCAGATACTCATCTCTTCTTCATGTGGGGTCTGTACGTTGATTCAAAGGGCATCAGAGGCAACCGGCAGCTAGCTACTTTTGCCAACACTGATCTGAAAATATATTCTGATGTTACTACAACTTTCTTCAAGGTGGTTTTATTCTGGAATGGTACAGCTGATAATAAGAAGGAGACAAATATTTATTCTGTGGCTTTTTATATTCAAACTTTTCATTCACTGTGATTTTTTATATAACTCATTCTAGGAACTTGCCAAGGACCATTCTGGTCTTTAGTTCGGATGATCCCTCAATTCTGTATTCTATTTGATTTTTTCCTGAATCAGCAGTAATTAAAAGACTGCGTGGATAGAAATGACTATTTGGAGGTATACTGCATGCAATTTCCTCTTATAATATGTATGATACTGTAAGGATTATGATGTAATCTATGATGAGGATTAGTTATTACAGTTCTCTTGTATTTTTCTTTCAAACCCCACACAAGCCATGGCTTTTCTGAAGGCTTCAATCAGTTGCTTTGTTCATTTTCATAAGAAACACGAGTTTCCTTTGGAATAGGTGAAATCAGGATTGTCCTACTGCGTGCTTCAAGTGGGACAGCAGGAAATTGACATGCACTACAGCTTGGGCCCTTCTGTTGAAAAAGTACTCCGTAAGGCCAGATAAAAAATTCTTCAGTTCAAGGAATATATCTTTAGAACATTATTAAGGTCTGCAAGGCACCTATTAGAGGAACTAATGATGTGGAGGATGTTCCTCTCCCAAGCAGGACATTGACTAGTACAGCACCCAGAATGGGAGCAGGCGATTCTGAGAAAATGACAGCTCTTGAACCCTAGCCCCTGGCTGTAAGCCACAGGAACTCTCTACTGGTGGGGTTGTTAGTGCAGAGTTTCCACTAACCCAGCTTCTGATTGGTGGGGTTTTCGCCCTTTGACAATGTGTGTGTGAAGGAGATGAGATGACAGTAGACTGCAGTGATTCACAGGCAGCAGTCAGGAGTGAAGTCCCCTGCCACACTGTAAATGTACTTATGAGTCTCAAAGGTTCGGAGTTCTTTGTCAAATATTTTACAAGTTCCTAATAAATATGAATTTAGCAAAGACATTATATATTTCATTATATGTATGCTTCATCATTTGTATATTTTATTGTTTTGGTATTGTCTGTAAATTTATCAGCCGTTACTTCCCAATGTTTCCCAGAGTTAAATTAAGAAGACAAAAATATATGAGTGTTCTAAAGTTTCTTGAGTATGTTTTTAAAAATTGCCTTTCAGAGTGCCCTTTTCACTATATACTAAGCATAGGTTTGTTTGTTTTTTACACCATCGAGTATAAATATTTCAATCTAACAATTTAGTGAGCAAGGTTAATAACTGCTGTTTTATTTTACATTTCCTTGATTTCAAATGAAGTTTTTATCTTTTGCTAATTGTCTCTCAAATTCCATACCCTATTAAGAAGCTTAGTATTGCCTTCATCAGCCTGTACTTTTGCTATGATAGATGGAGTAAACCTTTCTTATTTAATTATTTATTTGATTAAAAAAATGTAATGAAGAACAAAACTCTCTCTGACAAATGCATAGTCATATGTCCATTAACCACAGTTCCATACAATATAGCTGTATCACGTCAAAAGTTGACCCCTGCTCTCTTTAGATTGATAGCCCCTTGCCACTCCACATAACCCCTGGTGCCCACTGATTCATTTTCCTTCTTGCAGCTTTGCCCTTTCTAAAGTATCATATAAGTGGCTTTTAAAAAAATAAGCAAAATGCATTTAACATTTCTTCACTTCATTTGTCATCAGTTGCTGTTGCTACTAGCCTCATTTCTTCTATCAGTAAAAAGTTTTCCATCGTATGGATGTGCCACATATTGTTTTTCCTTTTACCCTTTTTATTTGGAAGGTATCGCTCACATTGCCCTGAGACATATACATGGAGCATATGCATATATGTATATTACAACAAATTACTGTATTCAATTTTCAGGTAGATATTCCTTCTCTAACATGTGATGTTTTTAAACATTTCTTTCTTGCAAATTCTTCAGTCGTTCCATAGCTATTGGGCAACATTATTATTCTCTGTAGGGAAGAAAACGAGAATTCAATTGTGTAGTTTCTGATCATTAAAGTTAGGAATCTGCATCAAGCAATGTCACCATTGGGAAAGGCACATGTGTTTTATCTTCTATTATGGAATCATGCATGCCAATATAAGTAAAACTTCTCTTTTCTGAATCGGTAAACTTGGTTCTCATGTAAGAATGAAATTGTCACACTTCTCTTTAAAGGTTTAATTCACTATGATAATTTAATTTAAGTCACAGTTTTATTGGTCCTGCACTAATTTATTTTTTTGTGTGTGGGTATAATTATTTTTTTAATTGGGGCAAAAATATACACCATGAAACATTCTCCAGTTTAATAACTCTACATAATTCAGTGTCATTGATTATGCTTTCTGTGTTGTACAACCATTATTGATGTCCTTTAAATTACCCATGGCTATTAACATACACTCAATGTCCTCTAAGCAAAGGCTCCTCCTCTTTCACCCATGGTAATCGTTGGTCAAGTTTAATTTCTTTCTTGTTTTTTAGTAGTTTTCTTTATATAATAATCTCATATTACACACTTCCATAGTTAAATTGCTTTTAAAAAGAGTTGTATCTGCAGCATCACAATCAGTTTTAGTGTTCTCTTCCCTTTCCCACATTCATGGTGTGCTTCCTAATTCCGCTTACCATCTCCCCAATGAAACAGTGCATCAGTTATTGTCTCCCTGCATCCACCCCTTCTGTGCTGCGCAAACTGGGAAACAAAAGAAACAATGAAAATGAAAACAAAACAGAACAGAAAGAAGAAAACAATAATAACAGAAAGTTAAAAATAAGAGTAAGAAAGGAAAGACCACCAGCTATATTTAAAGAGCCAGAGAAGAAACTTCTGTTGTGGAACAACAGCCTAGAGTAAAGTCAGGTTGGGTCAAGAGGGAGGTCAACTGACCCAGTATCATATTACCATGCTTTGATCCACAATAATCAAGTTAATAATAATTTCTGTCTTATAGTTAAGCTGTCAGAGTCCCCCTCCTGTGGCTAGAGGGGATCTTCCAGAGGCTTAAAGTGACTAGATTTTACTTATCCATTTACCTGATAAAGGACTTTTGGTAGTTTGAAATTGGGATGATTATGAATGAAGTTGGTAGAGTCAAATACAAGTTTTTAAAGGGTGTTTTCATTCCTCTTGAGTACATGCTCAGGAAGGTGATTTCTCAGTTTTATGGTAGCAGTATTTTAAACTAACAAGCAAGCAAATATAAAAAAGCCCACATTTCATTAAAGTATTAGTGATATAATAAGACAATAATATTTTGTTTGGATATATTGATGATGTCCCAAACCATGATCACAATAAAGAAAATGAAATCGCTCCTCCCCAAAGTTTTCTCCCAGTCCTCCCCACTCACTATTTCTGGGGACAAGGAAGGTACAGTTTCTTTCATTCAGTATAATTACTTGAGATTCATCCAAGTTATTATGAGCCTGTCTCTTTATGGCTAAGCAATGTGCCCTAGTGTGTATATCACAACATTTACCTATGAGCTTGTTGTGAGGACTTGGGTCTGCCGTTGATCTTTATCAGCAAGTGTTTCAAATCCTCTTCACATTCAAAAAGCAAAGTGTGTCATCTGTATATTGCAGGATTTTTAATTTTTAATAAATCATTTTATTGGAGGCTCTTACATATATTATAACAAACCATATGTATAACAAAGGCCAAGTGACTTGAGAACTTGGTCAGAACGAGATAATATCTTAGATGTGCACCATGGAACTCTGGAAGTTTTGAAGAGATGCCTCACTTGCTCTTAAGAAGGAGTAGAGACTCCACATCTCCTCTGCTTTAAAAATGCTATAGTTTGACATAGTACAAATAACTATCAACAAATATTTCTTCTTGAGTCCTTTGATATCAGCTCTTTGTTTTCCCTCCCCCCCTTATGCTGCACTCCCATGAACCCTTAATATATTGTGTATTGTGTATTACTTATACATATCTCACACTGCCCATTCTATCCCTTTACCTACTATTCTGGTATTCTTCCTCTGTGGGGGTTATTCTACCATCATTGCTATCCATTCGTCCTTCCCTTCTTCCTCTCTCTTCCCTTCCACTATCCTCCTGGAATTGTTGCTCCCACTACTGTTTCTGAGGGGGGTTAGTCTTTCCTGAATTAGGTATATTGAAAGCTCTCATCTATGCTACTGTCTGTACACCGGACTAGTGGGAGTTGTGAGATTGCATTGAGATCAAAATAGTTGGGG